CGGTTATATTCAAGGCTGGGAGGAAGTAAAAGTAATAAAACTAATGTAGTATGGTTATATTCAAGGCTGGGAGGAAGTAAAAGTAATAAAACTAATGTATTATGGTTATATTCAAGGCTGGGAGGAAGTAAAAGTAATAAAACTAATGTGTTATGGTTATATTCAAGGCTGGGAAGAAGTAAAAGTAATAAAACTAATGTATTATGGTTATATTCAAGGCTGAGAGGAAGTAAAAAGTAATAAAACTAATGTATTATGGTTATATTCATGGCTGGGAGAGAGTAAAGATGATAAAACTAATGTATTATGGTTATATTCAAGGCTGAGAGAAAGTAAAAGTAATAAAACTAATGTATTATGGTTATATTCATGGCTGGGAGAGAGTAAAGATGATAAAACTAATGTATTATGGTTATATTCAAGGCTGGGAGGAAGTAAAAGTAATATAACTAATGTACTTTGGTTATATTCAAGGCTGAGAGGAAGTAAAAGTAATAAAACTAATGTGTTATGGTTATATTCAAGGCTGGGAGGAAGTAAAAGTAATAAAACTAATGTATTATGGTTATATTCAAGGCTGAGAGGAAGTAAAAGTAATAAAACTAATGTATTATGGTTATATTCAAGGCTGAGAGAGTGTAAAAGTAATAAGACAAGAACCATTTATGTTACCCCAATTAAGACAGTTGCTGAAAAGAACTGTGTTTACACTTGTAAGACACTTGCTGGTCTTTTAGGGGGGGGGGGTCTCTGCAGAAGCTGGAAGAACCACGAATCGATTATTGCTGTCTGATTATCTTTCTTTAGGTTTCTGCACACACACTAAAAGAATAAAAGATAACTCTGCACCCTTACTTTAAAACAGAATGTTTTTTTTCAGCCACTTTACGATAATAAATGAGCGAACTGTTTTTCTATTTGCCAACGTATAGTGGAAAGTACTAATAACATACACATGTTTTTGATCAAGTATCCGCAGTAAGTATGGGGTTATTATGATAAGTTGTCCAAGGTAAACACGTATATATAACGTAGACACGCACGTATACAAGTAAATAGAAGAGGTTTGATACTATACGTTTTATGTATACAAAGGATAAAATTAGCACTACATAACGATGATGGAAATGTGAATAAAAACCAAAACCAAGATGCATAGTGTAGATCCAAACCATTACTCGTAACAAACGTCAGTTTTATAAGTTTCATAAATGACTACTTAAATAAAACAATTATAAATTATACCGTTTGTCAACAAAGTACACAAGGTATAATTTTAAAAGGGAAATATCTGCGATCATACTACTCCAAAGATGGAAATATTCCGTCTCCCACACATAATCATATAGCTGTAAATCAATAGATAGGTGGTGGGTGCAACCAAATTGTAGCCCCTAAAAAAGATTTCAAAGTACTATCATGGTACAACCACCTGTCTTAGACACCCAACCCCCACCCTTTAGACAGTCATTACTAGGTAACAAAAACAATAAACCTTTACCTACATAGTTCAGTAATAATTGTACGCCCATCTCCTCCATTGTTAACCTAAATCAAATATATCCCACGTTAATTTATACAAGACCAGCTGCTTGAAGTTAGCCCTTCTAACCCAGTGTTCTCAAAAAGCTACCTTTTAAACAGCAAAATAAGAATTAAAGCTTGTGTTTATAAATTTAGATGATAGTGACCTCTCCAAATTAGAAATATAGTTAATCATTCCAATTATGAAATTTCCTTTTTATTTTATTTTTAAGAAGTACTACATCATGTTAGGTTTACCATGCATTGCCAGTTGAATGTATTTAGTTAACAGAACAAAATCTTTATGTGTTACAATATCAACACTATATCACTGAGCAACGAAATAAAATCAAGTCACACACAATTGATAAGCAGGAATATATCAAGATAATTTTACACCTGAATACTAGTTAATTCTAGGATTTTGTTTTTTGATACAGAGAGCTTTTTTGATCTTTATTCTGTTTATATTTTTTTTCTCTGTCAATGAGTTTAGCATCCGAATAAAAGAAGTGTTTATTCTACTCCACTGTAATAAGTAACACAGTATTTGCATGTAATTTGATACAAAAATCCTTAAGTGCCCTTATCAAGAAATTTGTGCGATACAATTTGAACTAGTTGTTTTTGCTGGATGGGAAAAAAATTCACATCGAAATCCATGTTATCTTTAGTTGTTTTTCACCACGTTTTTTGGATTGCATCTAAAAGCCTGGGGATATATGTGATAAAAAAAATGTTTTTTTTCTTCTTCTAAATCGTTGATTGTATTATTTTCTTGGGATCACGAAGTCTTATAACCGTGAGAAAATACGTGTTTTGCGTATTAAGTTTTGCTTTTACCGCGTTTACTCTGTTGAAAAAACTTGATGAGAAGAGGAAGCCTTTTTATTTCTTTGGAAGGGGTTATTGATGATCCTTAATACTTGTATAAGATCCTGGAAAGAATTCCAAAGAATATAAACTCCCGAATGTGTCTTTAAGGAAATTAGCGGTAAGAAATCCACTTTCACTTAATTGTTTTTCAATCAAAACATTAAAAAAATTATTTTCCATCGAGTTTCAACTGCAAAGATGATGTAGGGGGTGGATTACATTCAAATATTAAAGAAAACTAACAATATAACCAATTTTCTTAAAGGACGTAAAAGTGTCTTCTACATAACGGATCCAGAAAATTGGAGGATGTAGTGCAGTGGAAATGGTAGTTTTAAAATTCTGACAAAAATGTAGTATTGATTTAAAAACTAAAATAAACAAAAAGCCTTTAAAAATGTAATTACTTGTTATATTCGTAAATAAATATTTAATCCACCCTGTAATACTTGTCTGAGGTTAGAGTCAATGTACGAAATAACATTAGAGTTTCTTGAGAACATTGGTCAACTTGACTGAACATTTAGCGTGTTAACGTAGCTAAGAAAAAGTGTGAATAAAATGTTCTAGAGAAATATATTTCTATTCAGGGGAAAATACAGGATTTTCAAAAGGGAGGGTAGTCCAAATGAATGGATATCAGAGAGTCTGCGAAAGGAACTTTTATCCCTTCCCTTCTGAGAAGCAAAATATTTTTTAAAAATATTTCTCAGTCCAATTACCGACAGTTTCCATTACTTTTTGCCAGTGATTCCCATCTGCGAATCACCAATACTTTCTTCTAGCATCAAGAACATTTGTTCCACCATCTGGGGAGTTGACTGTTAGAATCATGATCTTGAAGTGACCCCACACAATCAAGTTGTTCACTGATGGAGGGAATGTTTGGTAGTCATACCGATAAAAAGGGCTCTTTCAAAGACCTGTGGTGAGTTTTAAATGTATCACAATATTTTGGAAGAAAACATCCTTCACGACTATCTTCAACATTTTATATATTACAAATAGTCCAGACCAGTAGCGTAAGTATGACTCCGCAATTGCGTGGAGGACCGAAATAATTGCCGACAAGGGGAGAGACATACAATTTAATTTGTTTGAACTAAAAAGCGGTTGTACTATTCTGTAGTTAATTATATCAATCATCCAGAATCTTAACTACAATTATAGAAAAAAACATGCGGAGGGTCCATCTTTTATAGTTACGCCACGGATCCAGACCCGCCCTTCTATACAGAAATATAAACATAACTTATCCCAGAAAACAATAAACCATTTGCATCTCAAGTTTTCTCTTTAGTCCTACCTCACGTTTTACTATTTCTTTCAATATGTTTTTGGGTGGAACCAGGTGTTCACCTTACAAGGCTATCATTGGGGGTTTGTTTGTTTTGAATTTCGCGCAAAGCTACACGAGGGCTATCTGCGCTAGCCGTCTCTAATTTATCAGTGTAAGACTAGAGGGAAGGCAGCTAGTTATCACCACCCACCACCAACTCTTGGGCTACTCTTTCACCAACGAATAGTGAGATTGACCGTCACACTAAAACGCCCTCACGTCTGAAAGGGCGAGCATGTTTGGTGGGACGGGGATTGAAACCCGCGACCCTCAGATTGCGAGTCGAGCGCCTTAACCACTGAGGGAAAAGTCTGACCCATTATTTAAAATAATCACTACTTATAATACAATAACTTTCTTTAATCTTCACGCGATGACTTTCTAGTAAGCTCGACGGATTATAATGCAACAATTCGGGGTTCGATCCCTACAGTGGCCACAGCGCATAATGTTCAGATTTACGCTTAATAACAAACAATCTTTAAAGGATACACTTGTTTGTTTTAGCGCAAAGCTACACAATAGGCTATCAACGCCCTGTCCACCATGAGGACTCGAATCCAGGATTTTAGCGTTGTAAGTCTGTAAACTTTCCGCTGAACCACTAGGGAATATCTTCAAAAAGTTAGAGCGATATATTAGAATATTTTCTAATAACCACAGGTACAAACTGTTAGAGGATGTAAAATTCTTACGGCGTGTTTATTAAGATACAACCAGCTTGTATGTCGGTAAGATGATCTGATGAATTATCAGTTTTCAAAACATACAGCTACTAAATTAGAATTTTCCTGTGAAGTGATGGGGGAAAAGCAGCTCTGTATAGTGAAGGTTTACAGTTTGATATCCATTGTATTATGCTAAAGAGCCAAAATAGTGCTGCTTAAAAAGAAACAAAAACACTGTTCTCGCATATTTTAGATGTGATGAATCATTTGAAATATAAAAGTTACCTGAGAGGCCCGATCTCTGTATTGTAATGAATGACCAATCACTGGAACTCCCGTATAGCCAGCAACTAAAGACACGAAGAACGAATAGGGTTTCTGTATGAAATTCAACACCAAAACAGGATGGATATTTTCTAAAGCTTGACACGAAACGTTTATCACTTTCTCTGTGTTATTTGGAACTGCTATCGAACTGGCTATGAACGTAAAATTTTTGTGGGCCAAGCGTCTTTCAATTTCACCCATTTCCCGGCGAAGAGTCTGGCCGAGTAAGGGGGCAGAGTCCGACGGGAAAGCAGCCAGAAGAGGAATTGCCACTCCGGCCACTTGGCCGGTCCAGGTGATGAGGGAAAGTAAGGAGACTAACAGAATGGGCCCTCGAGTCATGCTCCTTGTGGAACTGGGCCGTTTTGATCGTACGCTCTACCTCGAGGTAAGACCGGATACTTGCGGAACGAGGAAAGGCCATCAGGTACGTAAGGCTACATCGCAACCAATAGTAAAAAAGTAAATTTCGGGAATTGTTTGATTAGAAGAAAAGCACCGGTAACACCCCTTCTGTCCGTAACACATATGTAACAGTGCTTTTCCTGGTTAAATCTGGTAACCTAAGGAATGGAAATCACAACTCTGTCCTAGCATACTCCCCACGACATCTTTTGCGCAGACGCAAACGCTTTTTCTCGTGATCGATTTGGACGTTGGCTGAAGCCGGTTAAATCTGTCCGTCTGTGATGATAAATGAAGAAAATTTGGCTTAGCGGTGTAATTGTAAACAGTAACCGAGTAAGATAAACAGAATTAAGAATGAATGATCCAAGTGGTAAGAATTTGGTTCTAAAACCAAACGAAGGGCCAGCTCTCATTACTTTGAACAATGTCGTAATTTTTCTTATCTAGTTTTAAAATCTTTAAAATATATAAAATTACGCTACTTTTCATAATCAGTGTTTTTTCTTCTTACTTTAAAAGTTTAAGAAAGATAGATGAAGTTACACCTAATTATATACATTAAAGTGTTGTATTACTATTAAGCCTAATAGTAATATTAGGATATATACCAAGTTGTACGAGTATGATATCAGGATACATACCAAAGTCATAATAAAGAATATACACCTAAGTTGTATTTAGTCTAATATCAGGGTTTGTCGTAAGGTGTATTAAGCCTAATATCACGATATATACCAAGTTGTACGAGACTGATATCAGGATACATACCAAAGTGATACTGATAAAAGGAATAATAGTGTGTGTTGTGACAGTTTGTATGTATGTGTGTGTATATATATATATATATATATAAAGTCCACAAGCGATATCAAATGTTTGTTTTCTTTTGAAATACAAAATAGCTCAATTACTTTGAAAACTGAAATTAAATTAAAGACAGTACCTTGAATCCCTAATTTAATATATATATTTTTAGTTCAAACACAGTATGATTATACATTGAAGACTGAAATATTTTAAAGATTTGACTGCTAAGGAAAAGTACTGGCTATGTGAATTTAAGTAAAAAACAAATGATGACTGCTCATTTTATTTCCTTGTTAAACATAACTTGTATTTCATAGAAAAATAATAATTTAGAATAAGATGAAACTGCAATATTAGGAGTGAAGTCAGCTTCAAACTCTCTTTCACAATTTTACCTTTTGATTTTTGTTCTACTTTTGTGGTAAAAAAATACATTTATATCAATCTAATTTAATTACTTTATTAGGTGCTTTTAATGTAGATTATCTTTGAAATTCATACAGGGTTTCTGGAATTTAACAAAATGTAGTTGTATTTCAGTGACTTGTTAGTATAATTTCTAAAAAAGAGTGAAAATCATATGTAGCATAAGCCGGTGGTCAGCATGCCAAGACAGTGAAACCAAAAATTAATTGATTGTGGGTGGCACTACAAGAGTGATGGCCAAATTCAGTTAGTTGGTCAGTAACCACTTGGTGGTGAATACTGTTGACTAGCTACTTTGTTTAGCTTTACACAAATTCTGGGTGATTTTTCACCAAATCCTAGGCAATAATAAAGGGCATAGTATTTAGAAAAACAAAATCGACTACAAAATGAGAAACCTATATATACAGGAGTTCTATGAATTTATAAAGTTTAGATATTTCACTCATTATGTTTTCACATAGCAATTGTTTGTATTTTCATTGATACAGCAGAAGAGTGCTGGCAGGATGTTGATACATTTGGATAACTTAAAACATATGCATCCAACTTACACTGGCAACAATATTAATCTATTCTTATTCTTAACAAATAGTAGATAGTAGTAATGAAATATATTATCCCAAATGTTATATAAAGACGTACAACTATGAGTTACTACAACTCTTGTGACTTATTACTAAAGGAGTACATAAAGTTATCACTCAGTTGTGGAGAAAATGCAAAAACTGTAAGAAGCATTTAAAATGTAAGACAGAAGATCAAAACTTTCTATGTTATTACACAAGACTATTTTATCATTCTGTGATGCTCTGTAGGTCTAGTTTGAAGTAATGTTAGTTTAGTCAACTTTTCACTAGTGTTCAAATACATGTAGTTTAAAAATCAGTCCTTAAGTGCTTTCCAAGATTATTTTAGAGTCAAAATATGACTTTTTATCAAAACCATTTTTTACTCATTATAACTGTTAGAACATTAAGTGGTTGTAAGGCTACATTCCAGAGCTATGGCCATGAAGTCAAAGGGTGCTGGCAGAACATAAAGAATGTATTGGTTTGTCGTTAGATAACATTTCAGTTGTGGACCAAATGAAAGATAAACGTACATACTAGAAACTATGATAAATTCTTAATGAAAAGGTAAACTCGCATTGTCTCAATGAAGAAAAACTGAGTAAGGTGTTGTGAAGAGATTTAATTTTAATTATGAAATTGCTTAAATTCATTGTTTCAATTCGCAAAATATATACATTTTGTACTGAAGCATAAGAATTATTCAGTGTAAAATTGACATTTACCATAATAAGAAGTATTGCCACATCATTTAACATCAAAAACTGTTTGGTCAGAACCGAAGGGGATAAGTGATTTATAGGGAAAACAAGCTATTTCAGGCCAACATTTATAGATATAGGAAGAGTTTAAAAAAGTAGGGTTTAGAAGGTAATAGAAGGCTGGTATGTATAAATTTCCCATTCTTTAATTTCAAATCAACTAAACTTGTTAGAAAATAAAGGTATACTAGAAACTGTTAGTTGTTAGTTATAAATTAACTTGCTATCTGACACCAGAGGTTGGGCATCATTATCTATATGTATTAAAGCTGTCAGATGACACCAGAGGTTGGGTGTCATTATCTGTACATATTAAACTGTCAATTGACACCAGAAGTTGGGGGGTCATTATCTATAGGTATTAAAGATACCAGTTAACACCAGAGGTTGGGTGTTGTCAGTATCTGTATGTATTAAAGATGCCAGTTAACACCAGAGGTTGGGTGTTGTCAGTATCTGTATGTATTAAAGATGCCAGTTAACACCAGAGGTTGGGTGTTGTCAGTATCTGTATGTATTAAAGCTGTTAGTTAACACCAGAGGTTGGGTGTTGTCAGTATCTGTATGTATTAAAGCTGTTAGTTAACACCACAGGTTGGGTGTTATCAGTATCTGTATGTATTAAAGCTGTTAGTTAACACCACAGGTTGGGTGTTAATAAGCTCCAGACTTAACGCATTAAAACAAAATTTTAGCTTCACCCCCTTTTTTTTAAAATGATTTTATTCATTGCTTTTGAGCTTACAGACAGACTGCTAGTATCTGTGACAGGCTAAAACATACACAACTACTACTCAATGTAAACTAGCATGTAGCCATGTTGAGCAGAAGTTGAACTTAACATTGTATACACTTTCACAAACAATAGGATAACTATTTTTGTTAAAGTACTCTTACATATATTCTTATTCTGTAAGAAAAAATCAAACTTTTGACACCTATTACACAATATTAAGAGGAACAATACATTTGAATGTTTATGTGAACAATTTCAATTGTTTCACAAAAATTATATCAATATACTGTACAT